GATCAAAGCGACTGATTTTTATTTAGTTTTGAATTATTTCTGTATCAACCAAATTCCAAATTCAGATATTCTTACACGTGCAGCGAATTAATTTTATTTTCTATTCTGAATGGCAAACGTGTGAACTATAGATTTGCATTTTAATTAATGATTGCAAAAGCTTTATTTAAAATTTATTAATAGAAGTATTATTAATATACTTTTCAAATTTCCAAAATAAATTTTGTTTCTGTTTTTCATTTTATCGGGAATAATTGCCGCAATTACAAGGATAATAAATATAAATCATATTCAATGATTGAAATATTGGTTAATATTTTTCAGGGGTTTTAAAATAATCCTTTGAAACATAAATTTACGTATAAATGAATTGCCATTATAAAACATTTAATTAATGAGCGCAGGCTTCGATATGATATGAATATGATACAAAAATTATTTTATTATTTAATATATTATTGATTATTATTATTTCTAGTTGTGGAATTTGGGTTTTACGCAAACTATAGTTTTACTACTTAAACCACAATATGTGATGTGAACATAAACAGCAGTGTGATTAAAAAAAATTTAATGCATTCAAAAATTTTAGCACCTAGTTTATTTTATATATATATATATATATATATATATATATATATATATATATATATATATGCCCAAAGTTACATGTTAAAAATAGAAAATTCTCATTGACTTTACAATTAATTAAAAACATTTTCTTTCAATTAACTAATGAAATTTTCCGCAGCAGCAAATCGGAGATATTTAATTTAAATTTAAAATTGTGCGATTTTTCTAAAGCTGTATATATAACAATGGAATGGATTTTACCTATATTTTTATTTTTGTTTTGTTGTTAGCTTTATTTGGCGGCAAATAAATGCTTTGTGTGATTATTAAATGAATTTTTGTTTCTTGTACTAACTTATAACATAATTGTGTGATGAAAAATAATTTTATATAAATAATTAAGTTCTGTTTAATAGGGCAAATAATTGATATAAGAGTACTGTAAAGTACCATCAAAGTATGCATATCGTAGTAATTTCAAGCTAAAAATGGTATATACAATTTTGTATTATAATATATTTTATACAATTCACTTGAAGTATATGAAACATGTATAAAACGTAGTAATACATCAGAAAAAAATTAGATCATTATAATAAATATTTGCAAAAATGTTTTTTCTTCCGAACGACCTTTCTCAGGCGAGCGATTGTTTTGTTTTTATAACAAAATAATGTACGAAAAAAGCGAAATCTTTTGCGATGTCAATATTTGATGAACCTTGAAAGATTTTTAAATAAATAATTCACCTATTTCAACGCTGAATATTTTTATGTGGAAAGTTAAGTTGAAAACTCAGTAATTTGGAATATTTTTTTATCAACTCGAGTTAAAGATATAGAGAGAGTATTATATGCAATCTTGTGTTAGTGATTGAACAAATATATTGTATTAAATTTATGTTTTTCAATCATAAGTGCAAAATAAACTAGTGGTATATGGCATCGTGCCTTAAGGCAAATTACTGGAACTTCCCGTACCTTAACGAAATGTTCGAGGAATATTGAAAGTTTTCAAATAGATTATTATAAATATTGTTACATTGTCTAATATTTATAAGAATTATATAAACTGAATTGCAAACTTAAAATTAATTATTTAAAGTATATAAGTGAGTTTCAGAACTTTAGTCAGAATTAAAATTAAAATTTGGATTATTTTCGTTACACAAAAAAATTGAAACATTTTTTTTTCAAAAGCAATTATTTTGTCAAAACAAGCAGAAAGTTTTTTGAATCATTTAATTCGGATGGTTAGTTCTTTCAAAAACTGCCATTTTTGCTCATTTAGCTCGGTATCTCACCGTCAGTACAAATTGAATGTTTTTTAGATCATTCAGATCGAATGCTCCGTTCTCTCATAAACTCGATTTCTATTTTCTGCATTCTTTGCCTTGTATCTCCGAAACGGCTGGACCTGCCTTTGCCAAAACCTAATTAGCACATCTCGCTATCAATAGGAATCGAATGTTATTTGAACCATTCAAATCGGTAAAAACGTGGACTGAAAATTGTATCCATACATCGTACACACACACACATACACACTCATCCATTTTTCTGAGGTATGCTAAAATGTTCGGAAACTTTCAAAACGTGAAGAAATAAAAAAAAACGATATCGATTTTAGGACGATTACAATAACTTACCATACGGGAAGTTAACTAGGTTAAACCAATTAAACCATTCAAGTCTATTTAACAAAATCATGATATTTACATTTATTCGTGTATCTATGCATGTACATATATTCATAATGTATCCACGTATGCTCATATATGAATGTGTATCTGTATTTAATATATGTATACAATTTTAATAAAATACACGAGACCTTTCTCGCAGCAAATTTTCATATAATGCATACTAATTGGGCGGGTATTATAACTTCTAAGATATATAAACTTCTGAAATTATGTCAGAAGCGCGACCAACTTATAAATTTGAATATTGGCTTTTTGGATTAATGATAATGTATCGTTTAAAAACATTTATTAAAGTTTACATTGTAAATAACCAGATTATAATAAGGAACCGTATCAACACTTTATTACGACCCAGGTGTTTTTAATCTGTTTGTTCACCTATACCCATGGAAATATACTACACTTAAACAAAATTACACAGAAAACAGATATAATACAATATTAGAATGCAGTTTTTTGAAGTGAAAAAATGAATTAGTTGTCGATATGGTCTTAAACAATTTAAATTTGAAATTTTGACACCAATATCAAATACTACAATCGTTTATTGATGCTCTTGATAAAGCAGTGAGTAGATCATTTAAAAATTGAGTAATAAAAAAATGAGAATTATAAGTGCAAATTTTATCCTTTACTCTTTTATTTATTTAAATTTATATTATTATTTATCAATATTACTTGATGTTAATAAATTAGCAGTTGTAATAATTATTGAAATTAAAAAAAAAAAAAAAAATAAGTGCATCAAGAAAAAAATTCAAAAGAATTATAAGTTCTAATGGTTATTTCTGGATATTAATTTTCAATTATAGGCTGACGTAAACAAAATAACGCTGATCGTATAAGATTTCTTGAAGATGTGAATTCAAGATGAACATTTTTCACTATCCCTACATAATACTGCGCATAATTCGTCAAAATCGTATCGTCAGTATCAAACAAAATATCATGTGTGCTAAAAGCAATAACACTTTAGTTGTGTGAATTAATTTCAAGTATTTTCAGAGAAATTGCAATATCAGGCAATGGCAGTATTAATAAACTAGTTGAGAGCGTCGGATCAAACCATCCGCATAGTTTTTATTAAATTGCACTATTAGATAAAAATATATATATATATATATATATATATATATATATATATATATATAAATGATTAAATTCCTAGAGAGCGTAATTTTAAGTGAAAAAGATTTTGTATATCTTTATTTTTCCATACGTTTTGACGTAAAATTTTACATCACCAGTGGGTCTATAATTTTGAAATAACAGAAAAGTAAAATATAAATAAAGAAAATAAAAAATAATTACATGAGCGAACACATCAAAAACTCAACTTAAAATATTACAAAGAGAGTACTTACATGAACTTGTTAAAATAACATTGACCTATAACAATGATAAATCGGCAATAAAGCACAAAGTGTCAGTGGTCACTATTTTATAAAATATTTTTTAGAATGAGTTGTGAAGAAATGCCGGCCATCCAAGGCAAATTTCATAAGTTGCAAATGTAAGTAATAAAAAGATGTGTGCAATGTTAGATTTTCGACATTAATGTACAAATATGATTGAGTACAAACTGATAGTTTTCTCATAAGAAGCTAGTATCACTCCGTTTAATAATACTGTTTTTATCGCGGAGAATGAATGCAGATTCTGCAAAGCGTCTTTTTGGGATACTCGATTTGTAGTAATGATTTTTGAGAGTTTGGTAATCATTGTGCGCCCTTGATTTTTATTTGTAGAATCATTGTCATGGTGTTTTCGGATTCAAGATTTGTTTGGTTTCGCCAATATAGGCATAATCACAATCACTCTACGGAATTTTATACACAAGATTAGATACTTCGTTCCAAATTAGTAGCTCTCGAGCTAAAGCTAGCTTCAAATTTAAAACGATGGTAATATGTGTGTGTGTGTGCGTGGATACAAACTTTCGTCAACGATTTCGGAAACATGGTTCAACCGATTTCGATTATTCAATAAACATTCCATTGCCGTTGACGTGCTTATTAGTTTTTAGCATAAGTAGGTCCCGCCATTTCGAAGATACGGGGCAAAAAGTTCTACATACGGCAACTAAGTTTTTAAAAGAACGGAGCGTCCGATTTTATTAATTCAAAAAACATTTTACTTGTATTGATAAGATAAAGAAGTGATCAAATTTTCATGAAGGCGGTCTAGCGGTTTCGGAGATCTAATGAAAAATATAAAAAAATGCCATTTGCAGTCAAAATGATTATTAGACATAAGTACATCAAATTATCAGATATTGTTACAATAAGTATAAATTTTGTTCACATTCCTATCGGTTTCGTACCAATGTTTATCTGTTAGACGGCGACGCGGCGCTTACGCGCTTCGTTATTTTGTCTCTATGCAGTTAAAGCAGTACGATTGCTTTAAAAAAATCAAGAATTTCCAAAATATTTTCAAAAAGTCTTTTTTTTTTCAAAAAAAGTAAATTTTTGTCAAAAATTTATAATTTCTCAAAAATCTAATTATTTCAAAGTAAATTTTTTTCAAAAATGCTAATCCTTTAAAAAAAATATTTTTTGGTACGGGAAGTTCCAGCAATTTGCCTTAAGGCACAATGTCATGCGCCCCACTAATTTGTTTATTATTAAATAAATTAGATATCTATTAACAAGGATGAAATATTTTATCAAACTTAAGTCCATTTAGAGAACACATCGTTTAATCTACATTAAATACAGACCTTGTATAAGCAACATGTTATTTGTCATATTATGTTGGCCAATTTCACGTTTCAGTCCTCTCCAAAGCTTTCCTACAATTAGAGAATAAGCAAGACTCATAATCAGAAGAGGCAGAATCAGTAGAACCGCGTCCAAAAATAAATTATAGATTCGCTCTCCATTTGCAGAAGACCACTGCTCGCGGCATTTGTGATGACCTGAAATGTGAAAATGGAAATGAATTATTGAATTGGCAAATATAGATAGAATACTGAGATTGGAATAGCTCAAAATAGCATATCCACATTATGTGTTTTTATCATTGAAAATACTGATTTTGAACAATGCTTAATGCAGTCGGATAAAAATTGCTCATTCGGTATGAATAGAAAGAATTTTATTTTTTTATTGTTTAAAAATTAGTTAATCATACCGTTATTTATTTATTATTTTATTGTTATTTATTTAGCTCATATATCTACATGCTGATATAGATATTACTATTTCTATATAGTAAAGAATAAAATTGTAAACAAAACCCAAAAAAATTGCTTGAAAAAATATTTATTATCTGAATATAATATATATAATGACATTCGACTAATTTTAATTATATTTTTCACAGTATAACCTACTAATTTATTCTTTACTATATTAGTTTTGTAAATTCTAATCAAGATCATGTTCTTGAAATAATATTTTTTTAAACTTATGATTTTTTGGAAACAATTGGATTCCTTATTTGAAAGTCAACTATTTAATATAAATAGGAAGCAGGGATAAAGGAATGCGGCTAAGAATGAAGTGCGGCTCAAAAATAGGTCAAGTTAAGAATTTTTGTACAACAATATGTAAAAGTAGATGGAAAAAGATGTATAACCAGCTATCACCTCGATTATTACGACGTTGCTATCGGGAGATAAATGGTAACATTTAAAAATCAATAACAAAAGTATTTTCTGCAGTTAGTTTTTTTTTTTGGTTGTGATCACTGTTGTTTAGTTAGATTCAACCATTTTTCTAAGCTATATAAAAATAGCTTACTTTTTTTACGAATATAGTGTCTTGGAAAATTCTATGGTTATTAGGACACAATCAAGAATCTATATACACACGATTATTTCCAAGAATGTTCAAGTATATAAAGTTTTATGTATGTGTATAAATAAGTGATTTATGTTAGCCAAAGTCATCTGTAAATTATCATCATTTATCCTATTCTCCAACAACCAATTGTTTGTCGAACTTATGATTTATGCTCTCGTGAAGCTAATAAATATCCAGATATACCAGCCCACAATCTACAGATTCTCGAAAACTTATTAACCACAAATCCTCTAGTAGTTCTATATAATCAATTATACTGCCTAATTTAATAAACTATTCATGTTTTTTATTCTTTCACGTTTAAATAAATTAAAAGGTTTAAAGTTTTAAAACAAATCGTTACTTTACATTTCAGTGCCGAAAGTTTTATTTGAGAACGTAGTTTGTCTGCCAACCAACTCTAAATAATCAGAATGCTCTTCAACATTTTTCCGGTTTTATTTCTGCAGTGACAGTAATTAAAATAATGGCAACAGCCAAAAAAAAGTGGATACATGTAAAATACATCTGCAAACTTTTATGATGGTTAATACATGTATAATGATTTGCAATGTTCTGATTTTATGATGGTTAATACATGTATAATGATTTGCAATGTTCTGATTGAAGTTCGAAACGGATTAATCCGTATATAAAGTTTGACCCGTTTTTACGTATTTGTTTATCTCACGCCAGAGAAAATGCTAAGAATGTTTCAAAAATTGTCTATTCCCGCTAGAATAATAGTATTTCAAAGATCTGAAAACTACTTGCATTACGATCCCATAAGGACACATATGCATGGCAATTTATGCTGCAAAGTGCAATGCAGATCGGGACATACATCCATATAAATGCTGATACGGTTTGCTATTACATGACATAGATACATAAATGTGGAATGTATATATATATATATATATATATATATGCAAAACCGTTGAAACCATACATGGAATTAATATTTCTCGTAATACCATAAAAATATTCTCGTTAATACCATGAAAAATAATCTTGTTTTAGATTTTTCAATACAATATTACCTGACCACTTTTGCACCATTTAAAAGAGATAAACTTCTTAATGATTCCATATTAAGTTTAAGATCTATTTAATTCATATTTTCACAAGATTTCTGAACCATGGAACTTTGAGCGATAATGGTGGAGAATTATCATTGTTCATAAGATACCTTCTAAACTTAGACTATAACTTCTCTATTGAATTATTGCAGGGCTCTGTAAGATATGAAATTTCTGTCTGCTTACCAATTAATTTCCAGTGTTCTAGGAAAACTAATTAATTTTTAATCACAAAAATATCCTCTATAATTTAATATACAAGACATAATCGATAATAAAAAATAACTGTATTAGTTTAACTAGAAAAAAAAACTAATTTTAAACAGTTATAGTTTGGTATGCTTATATTAAAATGATAAAAAATAGCAATTGCTTCACGGTATGAGAATTTGCGCAATGGCAAAATATAAATCTTTTCATATCACAAACAACTAACCACATATCTTATTAAATGTTATTCATGTTTGTTTGTGTGGTTTGTTTGTTTGTGATATCAAAAAATTCATTTTACCTTTGAGCATATTCTCATATCATGGAGAAATAGTGTTTTTGTTTTTTAATATAAGAATACCAAACTGTAAGTCTTCAAATTTAGTTTTTCTTTATTATTAAGTTATTCCATATTATTAACTTAGTTTTAATTATTATAGTTCACTGAATGGAGGTTGGAATGTTAGCGTCAAACGTATAGATAGCAAATTAATTGTAAACTATTCATACCAATATTTATTTATGTAATGCCCAATTTTTAAACTATGTATGTATGTATAGTATATGATACAAATATTTTTATTTATTTTTGCTAAAAATTTTCTACGCATATAATATCATTGCATGACATATTGGTTTGCTCAACAAAGTTAAAGGCATTTTAAACAACTTTAAAAGTTCACTTTAAAATTTCAGTCGTTCCATTGCGATCGCTTTAGTTTATTTATTCAACATACAGCACGTGGCATATTTTTCCATCATTTATATATATGCTGATTTTATATTTTGATGAACCCTATAAATATAAAATTAATAATTTGCCAAAGCTTATTTTAAAAAATATATAGAAATGTTGTTTATAATAAAAGATTGTAATAGCAGCAGCTTAATAGGAAAGTTTGGTTATAGTAGCAAATACTAAAATTGACGGGACTTCCAAAAATATTAAAGAAATTACCCAGACATTGCATATAAAATACATCATTCGCACGAGCTAGGTTTGAAAAATCCATGAAATATTTGTTTATACTAAAATGCTGTTTTTTATATATCATAATATGACATGTCGATAGTAATGATGAAGAAGTAAAACGTCATTTATTTGTAAAAATATTCGATGTATTAAACAATGACCCAGTCGTAAATATTATGAAATTAATAATTTTTTATTAACTAGATTTGAAAATTTTAAAAAAAATGGTTAAATATAGTAATATTGATATATAATACTATAAAATGTCT